CGGAGGAACTTTCATTTTCCCTTACCTCATGTCTCCATGTCAGAGGGACTTTGCTGGAGTAATATCATTGGCCTCTCTCTGGACTTCCTTACTCATTCTGCATAAGTTAACAGGAATGCTTGATAGGTGAATTTGCAAGAAGGAATAGAAGGTTGTGGGCTAGCCTTTTAAGCTGTAGGCTGCAATTTTAAGTTAGCCAATCTTTAGGTTATTTTTGCACTTTTTCTAAAATGAACAGTCAGAAAGAGCCTTTCATTGTCTCTGTCTGTCTATGGTTGAATAGATTTATAGTATTCAGTTCAGGGAAGACATCTAGAAGGCCAGGTGGCAGTAGAGGCAAGCAATAATGCTTAATTTAGCTGTTTGTGTACTGACACTGATAACTTTGAATTCTGTTTATCTACACTTACTAGCTTCTCAGTTGGTCCCAAATTTGGAGAATAAGATAAGGAATTATTTATTGATCCTGTCCAACTCCATAATATCACTGATATACATGTTTTTCAGTTAATAACATATCACATCACTTAATATTTTTAACTTTGTGGAATGCAAATTGTAAAGCATATACTCTCAATGATGGCTGGGGGAAGAGTAGCCAGAAGTTTAATGAAGGGTACAAAGCTGTCTCTCTAAGAGTCTTTTAGTCAGACTGTTTTCAGCTCAGCATTTCTTGATTGCCTCAAATCTAATTTCCAGCTATCTAAACTGGGTCCGTCAGGCTCTCTACCAACTGGTAGATTCAGGCGCATACCACATCTGCTGCCTTGGTGCTGTTTACAATTATAATGCCTTGTGTTCTTTTCCTTAGAATGAGATGATGAGAAAGCAAAACAGTATCAAGTGTGAAAGGAGAGAGAAAGGAGAGCAAGAGGAGGGAGGAGTAAAAAGAAAACAGATTTATAAATAACAGATACCCTATGAAAGGGCTATATGAATGTCCTCTGTTTGAAGGAGGTGGTAACATCCTTTGTTTAAAGGATGTAAAAGGTGGAGTTACACTGGAGTAGAAGAAAATAGAGGAGGAAACAAAGATGAAAAAACTGCATTGTCTTTGTGATCATGCGTCATTAGTGTTTCTTATTAGGCTCTACGTATTTTATTCTTGGGAAAATGTGATGTAGATACTTTAAATGAAAACAATAAAAATTCAATTTTAATAATGTTGAATTAAGTCTTTAATTCCTGTCAAGATACATTTAACATTAAAACTTTTTTGTTAGCAATAATATAATTTTCAATAAAATTACTACATGTGTTGAAATTTCATGAGTTTATAGTTTTAAGTGTTTTTGTTAAAAAGAATTAGTTTCTCTTTTGATGTAATGCTTGATAACTTTTCTCTAGTCATTGCTTCTGACTGAGGCTATTTGTGAAATGTATCACAATAGTTTTGGTATTCAAAGAGAATAGATTACTACTGAATATCAGAATTACATATTCTTTCAACAAAACAACTCTTTGGTTTATGTGTGTATTTTTATGAGTCCACATGTGTTTGGTGTATGTATCTGTGTAGTCATGTGTTTATATGAGAGAATATATGTGTAGCTTCGATTTAAAAAGGCTTTTTCTGACCTAGATGCCAAATAGGGAAATATTTACGTAAACCACGATTTCATATATGATAACCATGGGGACCATGCAGCAACTCATAACAGCTTTCTTAGGGCTAAATAACACTGAAATTTTAGATCGCAGGAATGATATGTCTTGATTACAATATTATTATCTCTGCTTGTTTATATGTATATACATACATTTACATGCATATGTTTTACATCACATGTGCATTTCATGAAGGCCGTGATATTGTCTGAATTATTATAGCCACATAGGAAGACTTCCATATGTGATAAAGGGAATTGTATAAAAATTGGGCTGAAAAGTTAAATTTAAATAGTTGTATTATGCTGGAAAGCTTATTTGATTTTTAAAACCTGAAAGAATAAAGGCTTGCTTTCTTCGTTATAATTTTCTTTATGTTAAGAAAAAAGGAAGACATGGTTAGCCAAAACCCTCTCAAGTGTCAAGTTGACCACTGGTATCTTCCCTGTGGGGTTAATTAACCTAAAATAGAGCTTAGGTGGATGATTTTGCAGTTTTAATGTTCCCAGACCATAGTTTAAGGAAGAAACAATTAAGTCTTTAACCCTGTAATTTCAAAAGATTCTTCTTTTTTGATACCCAAAATCTCTTTTCAAGAGAAGTGATAAAGAAAAAGATACAAATTCATTTGGCTACTGATTATCCCATTTTCTTCTAGAAAATAAGAGAACATCTTTGCTTCTTTTGTCTCCTTTGAATTTTTATGTACCTATATGTCTATAAGAATACATATGTGTATATCTTTTTTTAACAACACCTAAGTGTTCATTTAATATAGTATTCATTCATTTTTTAGAAGTAAAATGTCATTGGTATAAGTACCTTTAAAGCTACATAAATTAAATGCAATCTGCTATGTATTCATGAGTTCACTCAGAAAGAAGAAAAGTTATATTTTAGTTATAAATACTTTCTTTAGCTCTTTTCATTGTCTTCAGTGTGTGGGCAGAAAACCTCTACTTCTGTCCTCTTTGGGTCCCAGCAGGATCTAAGAATTAAATAAAAATAACAGATTAACAGGGAAAAACATAATACGAGTTTTATGTGGCATGAGAGTTCTCATAGAGAAAAAATGAAGACTCAAAGAAGCAGTTACCTATATACTGAGTTGAACAAAGAATAAGAAACTATGAAAATGTGACTAAATTATATGGGGAGGCTTAAAAAGTAAGAGTTATTTTAATAAGGTTTGCAAGGTATTCTCTGGTCTCAACTTCTCATCCTTCAAGGTAAATATGTTGTCTTTTCTTCTACTATAGAGAATGTCTTTCACATGAGAATTTCATTTTCTGCTCTAAAGAAACAACACAAAGTTCAAAGTGATCTTGCACTTGTTTTTCTGGTATCTTTAATTTAAATAATCAATATGCCAGAAGAGCCTATTTAACCCCTTCATCAGCATGTTTTTTCCAAGATGAATAACTAAATGATTGACTGAAGATTTTTTACTCTTATGCTTTCTTTTTGCTTTTAAAGAAGTGAATAAAATTGTATCTGAAAGTACATGAGGAATGAGTATAGTGTTCCTGTCAGTCTACTTAATGCAATTTTAAGGTTTACGCTATCAATTAAAACAGATACTTATAGCCAAGTGAATTCTAAGCAAAAAGAACAAAGCTGGAGGCATTGCACTACCTGACTTCAAACTATACTACAAGGCTACAGTAATCAAAACTGCATGGCAATGGTAACAAAACAGAGATATAGACCAATGGAACAGAACAGAGGCCTCAGAGGCAATGCAAGACATCTACAGCCTTGACAAAGATTGATCTTGATCTTTGACAAACCTGATAAAAACAAGGAATAAGGGAATTGTTTAATAAATGGTGTTGGGAAAACTGGCCAGCCATGTGAAGAAAGCAGAAACTGGACCCCTTCCTGACACCTTACACTAAAATTAACTCCAGTTGGATTAAAGACTTAAACATAAGACCTAACACCATAAGAACCCTAGAAGAAAACCTAGGCAAAACCATTCAGGACATTGGCATAGGCAAGGACTTCATGACTAAAACACCAAAAGCATTGGCAGCAAAAGCCAAAATAGACAAATGGGACCTAATTAAACCTCAGAGCTTCTGCACAGCAAAAGAAACAATCGTTAGAGTGAACTGGCAACCAACAGAATGGGAAAAAATTTTTGCAATCTACTGATCTGACAAAGGGCTAATATCCAGAATCTACAAAGAACTAAAACAGATTTACAAGAAAAAAACAAACAAGCCCATTCAAAAGTGGGCAAAGGACATGAACAGGCACTTTTCAAAAGAAGACATATTTGAAGCCAACAAACATGAAAAAAGTGCTCATCATCACTGGTCATTAGAGAAATGCAAATCAAAACTACATTGAGATACCACCTCATGCCAGTTAGAATGGCAATCATTAACAAATCTGGAGACAACAGATGCTGGAGAGGGTGTGGAGATAGGAACATTTTACACCATTGGTGGGAGTGTAAATTAGTTCAACCATTGTGGAAGACAGTGTGGCGCTTCCTCAAGGGCTTAGAAATAGAAATTTCATTTAACTCAGCACGCTATTACTGGGTATATATCCAAAGGATTATAAATCATTCTGTTATAAAGACACATGCACATGTATGTTCATTGCGGCACTGTTTACAATAGCAAAGACCTGGAACCAACCCACATGCCCATCAATGATAGACTGGACAAGTAAAATGTGGCACATATACATCATGGATTACTGTGCAGCCATAAAAGACGATGAGTTTGTGTCCTTTGTAGGGAGGTGGATGATTCTGGAAACCATCATTCTCAGCAAACTGACACAAGAACAGAAAAACACCACATGTTCTCACTCATGGGTGGGTGTCGAACAGTGAGAACACATGGACACAGGGAGGGGAGCATCACACATCCGGGTCTGTTGTGGGGGACTAGGGGAGGGACAGTAGGGGTAGGGATTTGGGGAGGGATAACGTGGGGAAAAATGCCAGATATAGGTGATGGGTATGGAGCAGCAAACCACATTGCTATGTATGTATCTGTGCAACAATCCTGCATATTCTTCACATGTACCCCAGAACCTAAAGTACAAGAAAATATATTTAAACCAACAGACAAACAAACAGATACTTAGCAGTGAGCCATATTCATATAAGGAAAAACCTATTCACGAATGATGGTAACAAATCACAATCCATTTTGTGAACTTTTAGTTAATCAATAATTCACTGATATGAACTTTTAATAAATATAACAATTAATGGTATAAGATGTAATTACAGAAGAATATCTGTTTCCTTTGAAAGCCATATGTATTCCATATGGAACTTTCAACTCTTTACATAGTTAACATTAATGATTTTTCAGTGTATCTATCATGTCTTATTGTAATAACATAAAATGTATCTTTCTGATTAGACAGTGATCTTGGCAAGCTTTTATTGTGCCTCAAAATATCTGATAAACAAACTGAATGGATAGAAAACTGCCGAAGACAATTTTGCAAAATAATGAAAGCCAAACCTGATACAATCAGTGGAGAGGGTAAGTATATTATTTCCATAGTGGGTTTTTGTAATGTATGAAAATTGTATTGATAGAATCTGTGATTCCTAAAGATTAGTATTGGCATATGTAGGAAACATATTCCTAATTCCAGAAGCTCACTGATTTCTGAGAAACTTGGGATCCTGAGAGAACACAAATTAAAATCTGAGACACTAGTGAGTGTTGCTTTTTTTTTTTTTTTTTATTGTTTTTTCTTTTTTTGTGAGCAAAACTAGAACACTACCTTCACCCTAGGAAGCAGTTTGCTTGGTTTTACCAGTTTTTACCTGTATGTAACATATTGCTATATTTTTAGAAATTTTATTGATTTTCTAATCAACATTGTTATTTTGAATCACTTTCATATTCCTCCAAGTAAATTTATTGACTCCTAAAGAAATTTTGTTTTAAGGGAACAGCTATGTTTTCTAAATTAGCAAACACGTTTATTTGTATTCAGTTATCTACTTGTACATTTGTTTTCTGAAGTCATCATTTTTAAAATTAAAATTATTTATTTTGAATATAGTAAAAAGAAGTGCTAAGAAAAAAGCTCTAATGTCAATTTAAGCTAGATTTTCTGAAAACTGTAACTTAAAAATGTTATTCACTTTATCAGCACTGCTTTATAGTTTTCATATTTTTGTCATTTGTTCTAAAATTTAAAATGGGAAATAGGGAAAAGTTTTTATATTGTTAGTTGTTGGAGAAATATTTTCAGAGAATAATGATATATATTTATGGCTAAGAAACTAAACATTGTTCTCCAAAGTTTGAGTATAAACTGAGCAGTTAGCTATGTTTTATCCCCTTAGATATTTTTAAAGTATCTATTCTAGGTATATATTTACCATTGTTTGAGTAATAGAGAATATTCAATATAAACTGTATCAGTGGGCTATACATACCAGTAAGAATTAAGAAAGCAGCAGATTGGAATGATGTTCAGTTTAAACACAGTAACTAAATGTGTATGTATGTTCTGAGTTTATCTCTGTCTAACAAGCATAGTAAGACAAAAGAGATATATCAGCTATTTAATCCTAATTAATTCCTCTGAAACAGATCAAACATGTAGAACATTACCGTTAAAATTGTGTTCTCTTTGGAATCTTGGTATCTTGGGGCACTTTCCACAAGTCTTAACCTCAGTTATTCATTTCTGTTTTGTTTTTTGTTTTGTTTTGTTTTGTTTTGTTTTGTTTTTGAGACAGTCTCCGGCTGTCACCCAGGCTGGAGTGCCTTGGTGTGATCTTGGCTTACTGCAACCTCCACCTCCTGAGTTTAGGCGATTCTTCTGCCTCAGCCTCCCAAGTATCTGAGATTATAGGCACATGTCACAATGCCTGATTAATTTTCATATTTTTAGTAGAGATGTGATTTTACTGTGTTGGTCAGTCTGGCCTCAAACTCCTGACCTCAGGTGATCCATCTGCCTCAGCCTCCCAAAGTGCTGGGATTACAGGCATGAGCCACCATGCCTTGCCTATTTATTACTTTGATACTCCTAAAAATAGAGCCTAAGGGCTCCTTTTTAATGGAAACTAGTGCTGGGGCAAAATCTCTCTAACAATAAGCATCAGGTGATTCTGCATAATTACTCAATGCAAAAATCATGGTAAAAGAGTCCTCTTTTTAAAAAAGGAACATGATTTTGTGATTTCTAATTTACCTTTGTCTAAATTTAAGTTTCTTTTTATTTTGCTCTGGTAATTTAATCCTATTGTCCCCTTTGTTTAAATTTTAGTGCTCCCAATTTTTAGGTTTTTCCTGTGTGAGATACCATGGAGAATAGAAAATGAAGTATGTTCTTCCTGTTGCTTTCCCTTTCTCATTACCTGTAGTATCTATTGGAAGGAGAAATCGAATTTTCCTTGACTTCTTCCTTTTATCCCCTGAATGATTCCTATCCTCCTAGTCACCAAGTCTTACAGAATTTATTCCTAAGTATATCCCTGATTTCTTCTTTCTCATTCATCTTATCTGCAACTACTTTAAGTAGTCATCATTTAGCAACTGGACAATTATCTAATACATGTTTATTTTATGAAAATCAGAAATTATAATTAAGCAAAATAAAGAGATAAAACTTACCTATAATTTAATCCTTCATATATTTACTTTTTATATTTAATCAAGATCAGTCATTATGAACCATACTATTTTATTCACTCAATACAATATTATACAGATGCCCTTCAACTTACAATGAGGCTCCCTCCCAATAAACACATCGTAAGTTGAAAATGCATTTAACAGACCTAACTTACTGAATGTCATAGCTTATCCTAGCCAAACTTAAATGTGCTCAGAATACTTAAGTTAGCCTATAGATAGTCAAAATCAGCACAAAACTATTTTATAATCAAGTGTAGTTTATTGAATACTGTACTGAAAGTAAAAAACAGAATGGTTTTATGGGTGCTCAAAGCATGGAGCTGTCCTAGTTTTTAATCAGTTATTCTTGTGATGGTATCTTAGTCTCTTCAGGCTGCCAAAGGAAAATACTTGAGGCTGGGTAATTTATAATCATTAGAACATTACTTCTTATATTTCTGGAAGGAGGGAAGACCAAGATCAAGGCACCAGCAGATTTCGTGTCTTGTAAAGAATTGCTCTCTACTTCAGAGATGGTGCCTTCTTACTACATCCTCACTTGGTAAAATAGAGGGCAGGACAGCTCCCTTCAACCTCTTTTATAAGAGCACTCATTCTTTTCATGAGGACAGAATCCTCATGACTTACTCACTTCCTAAAGGCAAAACTTCTGAGTACTATCACTTTGGGTATGTATGGATTCTAACAAAGGAAATTTTTAGGAATACTGACATTCAGACCATAGCGGATGGCAAGACCAAAGGTGAAAGCAGAATCAACATCCAAGTATCCTTGAACAGTCTGCCTTTAGTTTTCCCTCAGCAGAAAACCCACATGTTCTTAGTATATAAATATGAATTTTGGTTTTACAGTCTATTTGTGTCATATTCCTATCCCAGGGAATAGACATGATTAAAGGGAGAAGGCCCATAATTTACTACTCTATAGAAATTTTAGAGCTGTCATTTAAAATTTAAAAATTCACTTTAGAGGAAACAATTTTCTGTAGTTTACTTTCTGGATAGTAACAGCATAGAGTTAATTTGTTTTAAAGTTAAGGATTGTGACATGAATTAATTTCCTTGAGTTAATGGAATTTTCATTGGGTTGACAGTGAGGCTGTTGGTCATACTGAGATAAATAGCCGTTCTAGTAATTATGTAGTTCAGCTACACTTACAGGTGATTAGAAAGATGTACTAATGAGATGAGAGTCATAGGTTCAATTACCATGTATGGATCAATCTTTAGCATTGTTACATGAGTATAGCCTGTCCTTCAGGCTGTTCAGAAGGTTGCTGAACAAAATGAATAAACAGACATAAGTAGACATCTAGAACCTTCTTGGGGTACTTTAGTAATGCCTTTTTAACCTATGCAATATATAATTAATTTACCTGTAAGCCTCTAATATGCTGATCTAATAACATTATATTTGAATGTCAGTACTTGCCAGAAAATAGTGTGGCTTGCTATGTATGCAGTTAGTCATGTGACTCTTAAATTTCAAATTAAGTTGTGTGTAGTTCCCTCACAGATATGATGAATCTTCTATATTTCTGACCTAATCTCAGGCAAAGGTTTCAAAGAATTGCTTAGCAGTATTCTGTGTCTTTTCCCATTAACTCAGGCACTTTACTTAAATACACGGTGTGTAGTGAACACGGTTGTGCTAAAGTAAAAATAATTAAATAATGTTTAGAGTAATAAAAGTGTCTTTCTGTACTTTGTTACTAATGTATATTTTACATCTTAGATTATTATCATTAAACTAAGAATGATTATATCTGAACTTCATCAAGACGTTCTTTCTGCAAAATTTATAATCTCAAGAGACAGTATTAAGTGATTTATAAAGAAAGAAGTTCATATACATATAATTTAAGTGCTCTCACCTGAGGGCTGTTTTATTTGTTAATTCATAGAAGAAAGACCTTTGAAAGATTTTTATAAATATGGCAAAATTTATGTCTATGCATGAAGATAGTACCAGTCTAAACAGCTATAAACATAAATAGCTTTTAATACTGATATCCTTTCTGACCTTCAACTATTGGATTCTTATACTTTTAATACTCATTTAACTTTGAAATCATAATATGAATAGAGTTCAGTGAATAAAATTATTTCATTTTCATCCTAAGCCACTATAATATTTTGAGATAGAGCTTGTCAGCTCTTTGATTTTGGACTTTCCACCCACTGAACACTAATTTTTCTTCAAGAATTATATGCTTAAAATGTACTTGTATGTGAAATAGGGTTCGTTTAGTTAATATAGGCTTGAGTTAATATCCTGGATGTAATTAAGGGACAATTTTATGTAATGAGTAAAGTGCACTTTCTATGTAAGATCATAACAGTGACTCTACAAATTTATTTCTTTTCAGCAAAAAAAAAAAAAAACCAAAAAAAAAAACCATCAAACCCACAACAAACTCTGGATTGCATACTAATTATATTGTACAATATAATTAGTATTGTACCTGCTTATGTCCATTTCAGGAGTATTAGATGCAAGTGTAGTAGCATTATCAAACCAGCCTAGAGAATAACCATTTTATCACCTCCAAGCTAGATAGGGCAAGCCTTCTTTTGATATTGCTTGCCTTGAATAGACACCATCAGTTGCAAAGCATATAAAACATATAGTATGTCCTGATTTTGAATGAGCTGTGCATTGATCCTAGCCTTAGAGCCAACTAATATTTTTTTCTGTTATGCATAAAGAACGAAGGTAAGGTATTGTAGCATAGTTAAGTGATAACTTTTCTTTCAGTTTTGAAATCATTTAGCAAATTCTAAAATAATTCTTAGAGGATCTAAAGATAACAGATGATTCCTTTTCAGTTTTATATTGAATAGGTTCTCAGCTAAGCTATTAAAGTTTAATTTGCATCAGAAACAGTGTTATGAATACTAAAACAGTATGCATTTGAATTGAACTCCCTTAGAGTGTATCTGTGAAGAAGTTCAGGTGACTTTTATCTGCTAGTTTTGTGATTTAAGAATGCATTGTCACATATTATCCTGACCTTTAGTATCCTAATTATTCTCTTGTTTATTACAGCCTTAGTAGAATTACTTGAAAATTTTGTGTTTCATCTCACTGAAAGCCAGTCTGAATGCTACTTCCCTTCAGTGGAGTATACAGGTACATTTTAAACATTTTGAAGTTTGAAAAATACCCAGTATACAAAGAGATAATTAGTGGAGATATGTAATAAGATTATACGTATCCAGTTTTCCCTTTCTAACAATCTCTTACTTGGTGCCATATACATTCCAGATATCATTAAGTCTCTTTTCTTTGTAAATGTCTGGGTTTCCTTGTAACTCTGGGATTCTTTCTTGAGCTCTTTTTTTTATTTCTCTATCCACTAGAAGTTGTTTTGCCTTAAGCAATGTCTTCTACTCTTCTATCTATTATTCCCTAGTGGTCTTTTCTGCTTATGCTGTTTTACCTATCTCTCATATGTTGATGATTTCAAAATTTATATCTTTCACTCAAAGATCTGCTATAGGCTTCGTTCTTATATTTCCAGCTGCCTAATAAGTAAACATCAACTGGATAAACCACAGAATCCCTCAAACCCAGTATGTCTAAGAAAAGATACATACATTTGTCTGGGTCATTGTGTTAGGCATGCTGGCCTGTGTCCCAGAGCAGATACTGAGAGAGGCCAGTCTCAGCCCTGGCTTCTTCTGTGGCAGTCTTAACTGTGCAGGGACATACGGGATGACATGTACCCCTCTGAACTGAGACATGTGTTTCCAGCTTCTATCCCATGTTAGATCCCTAGGGTCCTGGCATCAGCTCTTGTCTCTTATACAGCAGTTGGAGAGCTGTCTTATTATTGCAAAGACCTCCTAGGAAATGTGCGCCCATCTGAGCCAGTATGATAGGCACATGAGGCTGCATCTTACGGTTGATCCTGAGGAGCCTTAGTATCAGCTCTGGTCCCTCCTGTTGCAACTGAGGAACTACCCCAACTTGTGCAAAGACCTGCTGGCTTATACATGCCTGTCTGAGCCAATGAGACAGCCTATTAGCCCCGTCCCACAGGAGATTCTGAGGGGCTGAGTCTCAACTCCAGTCTTCCTTATATAGATAACTGCTGGGAAACACACCCATCTGGGGGTTACAGTCATCTGGACTCTGATTCCTGGCCAGAGTTCTTGCATAGCCCCAGTGCTCTCTTTAGATCTTCCCTATGCCTTTCTGGGCTGGAACACTGTGTCAACCTCATTCCTTGCAAGACATGCAGCAAGCCTGGACTTAGAATGTTCTCTAGATGGGTACGGTAGTCATCGGCTCAGGGAACTCTACAGAGAGTCTGCTTAGATTCCCTGGAAAGCCCTCTAGAAGGATAGGCACAAATAAATCTAGACTGCAAAGACTGAAATAAATACATAATTCCGCAATGTGTAGGTATCATTGCATGTCCTCAAATATTAAAAACATTCATGTACGTATGACCTGACCAGATGAACAAAATGAGATGCCAAAGACTATAAAATGATGGATATGTGTGATCTTACAAAGATTTCTAAATTGTTGTTTTAAGGAAGTTCAACAAACTTCAAGAAAACACTGAGATCAATTCAGAAACTTATCAGAGAAATTTAATAGGGAGATTGAAATCATTCTTAAAAGTTAAGCAGAAATCCTGGAGCTGAAAAATACAGTGATTGAAATGAAAAATGTGATAAAGAGCATCAACAGCAGAATTGATTAAACAGAAGAAAAAAAATCAGTGAGCTTGAAGACAATTTAAAAATACATAGTCTGAGGAGAAAAAAAGGATGAAAAGGAATAAAGAAGGCTTATAGGATCTATAACAACATCAAAAGAACAAATATTTGAGTTATTGTAATTAAAGAGGGAGCTGAGAAAGACAGGGGCTAGAAAGTTTATTCCAGGAAACAATAACGGAAATCTCTCCAAATCTAGAAAAATGTACAAATGACTAGATACAGGAAGATCAAAGGTCAACAATTAAGATTCCATTCAAATAAGAATACCCCAGTACATATTAGAGTCAGACTCTCAAAAGTAAAAGACAAAGAGAGGATCCTGAAAGCAGTGAGAGAAAGTAAGCAAATGATATATTAAGGAGCTCCAATATGCCTGACAGCAGATACTTTACAGGACAAGAATGCGTAGGACAATATACTCCAAGTGTTAGGAAAAAAAATTAAAAAAAAAAAAAAGAACATGTAAACCAAGAATATCATATCCAGTAAAGCTATCCTTAAGACATGAGGGAGAATAAAAGACTTTCCCAAACAAACAAAAGTTGAGGGAATTTAATACTGTCAGACCTACATGCAAGAAGTGTTAAAGGGAGTTCTTAAAATGGAAGGAAAAGGATGCTAACATGATTATGCTAACATGATTATTTAGTTGTGGTATGTAAACCACTTATGTCTTTACTAAGAAGACTAAAAGACAAACTATTAAAAATAGTAACTACGACTATTTGTTAAGTGATAGGCAATATAAATAATATGAATTGTGACATCTAAATTCAAAATGGGGGTAGAAAGGAATTAATGTGTATAGTTCTTGTTTGTTTTTGCAATCAAGTTATTATCTGTTTCAGATAACTCATTAATAGGAAGGTTTTGTAAGCCTCATGGTAAACAGAAACCAAAAAACCTAAAATAGATGCCCTAAAAAATACCAGTAGAAAAAAATAAATGCAAAATAAGATAGTAAGAAAGGATAAAGGAAGAGAGGGATCACACAATAATTAGTAAACAAGCAGTAAACTGGCTATTATTTATAATAACATTGAATATAAATGGACTGAATTTTTCTACTGAAAGATACAAAGTCGCTGAATATCAAAACAGCTAACTATGTGCTTCCTACAAGAAACTCAATCCACTTATCAAGACTCACATAGATTGAAAGTGGAATAATAGAAAAAGGTATTTTATACTAACTGCAGCCATAAAAGGAGTAACTGTACTTATATCAGATGAAATAGAAGACTATAAAAAGAGACCAAAAAAGTCATTGTATAATGATAAAGGAATCAATTTAGTGAGAGGATATAACAGTAATAAATATACATGCACCTAACACTGGAGCACTCAGAGTCATAAAACAAATATTAGTAGACTTTATGCAAGAGATTAACTACAATACAATTCTAGAGGACTTCACACTACTTTTGGCCATGCATAGATCATCCAGGCAAAAACTACATAATCATTTCAATAGATACTGAAAAAGCATTTGACAAAATTCAGCATTATCTATGATTAAAAAAAAAAAAAACAACTCTCAACGAATTGAGTATAGAAGGAACATACCTTAACACAGTAAAGACCATATGTGATAAACTCACAGCTAACATTATACTGAGTGGGGAAAAAATAAAAAGCTTTTCCATTAAGATCTGAAACAAGAGAAGTTGTCATCATAACCTTTTTAGTTGGTATCTCTACTTGCAGTCTGTTTTTTTTTTTCAGAGCTACTCTTTGAAAAAAATCACTGCTCTCAGAGTGACCTTTCAAATGTAAATCCAACCCACTCATTCCTCTACCATTTCTTACCATTGACTGCAGCGTAAAGTCTCAGCTTACCTCATATCCATGATCTTACATTATCCTGCCCCTTCCTTTTTTCTAGGATCATACTTTCTTTCCATGCAGAATATTAAACTCTTCACATCAATCCCAACTAACCCCTGTCCCAGACACTCATGTGTTCATCATTCAATAAATTATACTATATTAGGTACTGGCACTCTGACAGACAAAGTCTTGCCCTCTTGGAGTTTACTTTCTAGTGGGAAGAGAGAAAATAAGTAAAATATTCAGGAAGTTAAAAGGTATAATGATCAATGAGGAAATACACAGCAGAAAAAGGAGCTAGGAAGTTTTAGTTGGGAGTAAAAGTTACAGTAATAAATAGTTTACATATGAAGTTTTATTGATGATGTGGTTTATTTTTACCACAGTCCAGTAGGGGAAGTGCAGGCAAGATATATGGGTATTTTCAGGCCAAGAGAGTGCTAACAAATGGCCATGAAGGGACTAATATGGCCAGAGAGGAGTAAGGGAGGGGAATTGGTCGTGTTAAAGTCAGGTAGGAGAGCATGATACAGGTTCTTGAATGTCATTGCAGGGTTTTGAACATAGGCATGACATGCTAATTTACATTTTATTAAGAGCATTGTGGCTGTGTTGTTGAGAAAAGGCTGAAGTAGAACAAAAGACTGATGCAGGGAAATGAGTTAAGAGGCTACTAAAAAACCGTAATGGCTCAATGAAGATGTCTATAATGGAGATGGTGAGAAGTGTTTGGATTCTGGATATATTTTAAAGATAGGGCCAACAGAATTGGGTAACAGATTGAATGTGGGACATGAGAGAAAGAAAGGAGTCAAGGAGGACTCTAAGCTATTTTTCTGAGTTACCAGGAGAATGGAATGATTAGCCACTGAGAGGAAGAGGAATAGGTGAGGAAAGAAAGATTAGAAGCTGGCTGTTTTGTTGCTTTAGATACTTGTTGGACATCCAAATAAATATGTTTTGTACATGCTGGGTATGTGAATCAAGTGCAGAGGAAAAGTATAGGCTAGAAATACAAGTTACTAATCCATCAGCTTGGTATATAAAGCCAATACATCTCATTGTAATTTCTTTCTCATATTCTGACTTAGTGTCTAATTCTTCACATTCCTGCACATTTCTTTAAGGTTGTTTTTGTGTTTTACCTATCATTTTATTCTCTGCACCCAGAATAACAATGTCAATAAGTGCTTGTCAAATAAAGGAAAAAATGGATAAAAGATTGACAGAGAAGGCTTTATAAAGTATGTCAATGAGTATCTTAATTTAATAGGCAATAGAGTAAACCATTCAGTATTTCTGAGCAGAAACTTTACGTGATTTGTCTGCACCTTACAAAGATTATTTTATAATAGTAACTGTGTAAAGGAAGAAATGGAGTACAGAAATGAAGTTTTCCAAGGATGAATATTCTAATACTTAAGGGGCAGTAAATAGACAGTGAAGAAAATAGAGAGTTATCATATACTACTGATAATAGATTATCTTTCCTGAAAGGGTGATATGACTTCTTTTGCTGAAGAAACCATCATTCAAATATGTATTATTTATTCAAGTTAGACAAAG